TAAAATGCCTTTAATTAAAGAGGGGACCCGGGAGCAGAGCTCCCCCCGGGTTCTGCCGGAGCAGGTGCCCAGCGCCTGGCTGCTTCTGGAGCCTGTGGTGAATAATGGAAAAGAAAAATAATAAATCACATCATCTCGTGGGTTTCTTGCCCTTCCGTGTTACAAAGGGAGCTTCTGCAGAAACAGCTGCCTTCCTTTTTTCTGTATCAGGTGAAGAAGAGTAAGTCAGTAAAGTGCTTCCACGCACACAAGCTCCGAGTTAAACGCGTCTTTAAAACTTGACAAGAGCAGGGGAAAAAAAAAAAATCTCGCGTTTTTGGAGTGCAGAATGTAACCGGGTGTGAGGAGGGGCCTTTGCCGAGGAGCAGCTGTTCCCCCTGTGATCTCTCCCTCCTTAACTGGCTCCCTTCACCCGTTCATTCCTGCACCTGCTCTCTCTGGCTTGCTCCTTTTACTCGGGAATTTTTTGGCTGCTTATTTACCTCGAGTCTGACTTTCTGTGCAGGTTGCTAGAAGGTTTGCTCACAATGCCCAGTATTCCAGAAGGTTACAGAACAGCTGGGGGTAGCTCGTGTGTGTGTCAGTCGTTAAGATGTTGACCAAGATCCATAGTGTTTCTTTGAAGGAAGGTTCTTATTTTTCTGTAAGTGAATTATCAGCAACTTTCTGTCAACCACTTGTTGTGTTTGTGTTATTCCAGCCACTGAGTACCACCTTGGCCTGCTGAAGGCAAAGCTTGCAAAATACAGAGCTCAGTTGCTAGAACCCTCCAAATCGTCGGCCGCTAAAGGAGAAGGCTTCGATGTGATGAAATCTGGAGATGCCCGGGTGGCACTGATCGGTTTTCCTTCTGTGGGTAAGGTCAGTGAGTGTCTACGTTAACCACGTGTGTGTTTCCAGGTTTGTGGTTAGCAGTGGCTGTAAAGCAGATATCCATCTTCTCTTCGTCTTTCACCTTCTTGCCACGACGTAAGAGAAAATTTATGTACACTGAGAGTTAGAGCTGGGGGACATGCTCCTTCGTCTTGTGTGCAGTGCCCTGTGGCAACAGCCTGAAACTTGGTCTTGCCCAGCCACAGCACTGCTGAGAAAACAGGTGAGAGTCCAGGATTTACCTTCGCTCAGCGAAAGCGCTGTCTGTCCCATCACCGCTTCGGTCCCTGTGCCTGGAACAGCCACAACACGTTTTCCAAAAGCTGAGGAGCACTTTGGCGTTGCTTGTTTTGCCGAACATTTAGTGATGCTTTCATTTGTGTATCTCTAGTGATGCCGATCTCTTACATTTCAGTCCACGTTTCTGAGTTTAATGACCTCAACTGCCAGTGAAGCTGCGTCATATGAGTTCACAACCCTGACATGTATCCCAGGAGTCATAGAAGTAAGTAGGATTCTCCTCCCTTTGGCACAATAGTGGTGGTAAAGAAACCCAAATGTGTAAATGCGTCTGTTTACACTAGTTACACTCGTGCCACCACTAAGAAGCAGTGATATCCAAAGGTCTCTGCTGACTTCTGCTTTAAACTTTAGGAGGTCTCGAGTGCTTGTGGTGCCAGGTCTTCTGCAACCTGCAGTGCTGATTTAGCACTTCTCTAGGCGACATAACTCTTCAGGATTGACCGCCCGATCGGGGTTTCGTACGCTGCCGTTTGACTGACCAGAGCAATACGACGATTCTCAGCTGAATTTTTTATAAATGCTATTGGCGCCATTGACCAGATGGCTGGAAACCTTGACAGATTTGTTTTTAATGAAGCTTTGAAAGAGGCAATCTGTACTGTGATCAATTTGGAAAGAAAATACAACTACTCCTGCCCTTGAGGAGTTTTATTAGTGGTGGCCTGAGCATCCATCAGTAAAGCACATGATAAAGGGCATCAAACTGAAAAGTGTCCAAGAGTAATGAGAAAATGTGGGTCAGAACTGAAAGCAGAGTTAAATAGTGAAAGTGGCTGTATTGGTGTTAAAACGAACACAAATACTGTAACGCATCCAAAGGCAGCCGTGAGCTGCATCAGTCGCTAAAGCCGTTACTGAGGACTTCACTGCCACGATAGCTTGAAAGCTGATGCCCCTGCAGATCTGATGAATGAAAGTCTCCCGTTATTTCTTGGCACCGAAAGCCCTGCAACACATCTGAATAGTTCTGATCCGTCTCAGTAAGAGATGGTGGCACGTGCTTGTTACAGTGCTTTCTCATTAAACCGAGAAAATAAGTAAATGGTGGGTTTTTTCTTTCCATTTCACCAGCTCGGGATAACGCTGCTCTGTTATCCTGGTGCTTTGTCAAACTGCAGCCATGTGATGCTTCAGGAGGTCAGGACCTAACGTACCGCAATATGTGGTGTTGAACGCAGCTTCTTGGGGAACTCTCTGGAGGTTGCCTCGACAAAACAGAGCCGTCAGCTTTGTGCAAAATTGTCCTGCTCTGTTGGGTTCGTTCAGTTCCACTCTCTACAGGCTTTGGACTCCAGCACGTGCTTGAGGCTTTTGAGGCAGCTCAGGTGCCCTGCACAAAGCTTTCTATCCATCTCTTTCCTTTTCAGTACAAAGGAGCCAATATTCAGCTGCTGGATCTGCCCGGAATCATCGAAGGAGCAGCACAAGGTTGGCTGATCACTTTGTTCATATAAAGCAGGGATTTGCCCTCAGCAGTGTACCCGAATGTCTCAAACGTTAGCGAGTTTCCTGGGCCAATAGTTCCCACGTTGGCTTTCCAAATTTTAGAGTCCTTGATCTTATGTGAGGCACGATTCTTATCCCTGAGCCCACGTAAGGTTCTATATGTAGCAGAAGGATGCTTTTCTGGAGGTGGGAGCCAAAGCAAGCCACTCACTTCTCACCTTCTTGCGTGAGTGTTATCTTGCTCATCTGTTTTCTGGTACAGAGGAAATCTAAAGAAAGATGCTAGAGAGGCGGAGGGGAAATCACAGCTAAACAGTAACCTCTTTTGACTAATTTCCTGAGTTCCTGCCAGTCCTCCCATGACTCCTGATTCTGGGAAGCGATGTTGGCTTTGTCCCTCTGCTTCATCATTGTCCAGATTGGCTGGTCTTGTCAGAAGATGCCTTAGGAAACTTTGGAAAATCTCCAGATGACTTTTTTTATGTTTTTTGGAGGATCATGGCTTTATGGTGTCTCTGCTTTTTGACCAGCGAGTGTTTGTAACCTCTGCCCGAGCCCCCTGTTCTGGGTAAGCTGTCTCTGCTGCCTGGAGCTGCTACCATTGCACATATCTGGGGATGTCTGTCCTGCTGACAAAGAATGTCATTTCCACCTGTGCAGCCGTACTCAAACAGCTTCACACACACTAGTTCATGTAAGCTGTGGTGGAGGGACCGCAGAAACGAGTATTTGTTAGGGCTTCTGCTGAATATAAGACAGTACGGATGGACCAGATACGCTCAGGGGCCCCTCAGCAGCTGACTACAGCCAGAACAACACTGCAGGATCTTTTTCCTTGCTTCCAAGCAGCTGTGCAGGGCAGAAGTCCCTGTCTCTCACAGAGCTCCTAGCTGGTTTCTCTTGCTGATGTATGGCCGGCTCCTCTTTTCTCAGGGAAAGGCAGAGGTCGGCAGGTGATAGCTGTGGCCAGGACAGCAGACGTTGTTATTATGATGCTGGATGCCACAAAGGGTGAAGTACAGAGGTGAGTGTGTGCTTCTGGGCACCTGGAGCTGTGGGGTGCTGGGCCGGGTTCAGGATTTCCCATATGCCTAGAAAACATGTCAGCTCCCTGAGATGTTGTGTCCCATGCATGATGAGGAACCAGTACTTAAGCAATTGAGTGTGAGATGGAGGTTGGTGCTGCATTAGAAGCATGCTGGCTAACTGGCTTGGGCCTGAAGGATTGTTCCCACAGGATGGCTGATAAGAAATGGGGATGTCAGCCTAGATTTCCACCACAGACTCTGTCCTGCACTAGCTGTGGTTTTTAGGTTGTAGTGAAGGCTTCTGGCAAGGCTGTATCAATATGATAGTCTCACAGGTACTAACGTGCAGTGTCCCTGCAGGGCCTTGCTGGAGAAAGAACTGGAATCTGTCGGAATCCGACTGAACAAAAGCAAACCAAATATCTACTTCAAGGTGAGGTTTCCTGGGCTGCCGCAAGTCCAGCTTGTGTCTGGCTGCCTGCTCAAAGCTGAGGTCACTGTGTGCTGCCCCTGGTGTTGGACAGACTGAAGGGGGGTTGTGGATTTTGCAAACTGTTCTTAAGTTGCTTTATTGCCTCCCTGCAGCCGAAGAAGGGTGGAGGTATCTCCTTTAACTCAACGGTCACGTTGACTCAGTGCTCTGAGAAGCTGGTACAGCTCATCCTCCATGAATATAGTATCCTTTCCTAAAACGGGAGACCCTTAAGCCATCAGCAGCTTAGGAGTCAAGTGGTACCTGCTGTGGGACAGCCTCGCAGCGTCTTTGGTGGTTGCTGGGTTGAGGACAGGCTTTCACAAGCAGGCTCAGCCCGTTGGCTGACAGCAGCACGTAGATGTGTTGGGATTTTGGCCTTGACAAGGTTCACCTCAGAAATCTTCAATGCTGAGGTCCTCTTCAGAGAGGATTGTTCCCCTGATGAGTTCATTGATGTGATTGTAGGCAACAGGGTCTACATGCCGTGCCTCTACGTGAGTATCTCAGAAACAGCCTGCCTTCTGCCACACCGAGCATCTCCATTCTTTGCTGAAGGAAACGCTGGATCTTCCTGATTCCTAAAGCAGTAGCAATTCGGGGCTTAAGAGGTGGAAAGCACAGCTCAACAGGGAGCTTTTTAGAAGCTTTCCTTGTGTGGCTGTGCTGTGTGTGTGTTCCCTGTGCCCTCTGGTGGCTGCCTGCATTGGAGCAGCACCAGCTGTGGGTCCTGGTGGCATGGGATCTGCTCCCACGGTGCCAAGCCTCCCGTTCCGTGCTGCAGGCGCTGCACTTGAGTTTTCGCTGCTGGTCCCATGTGCCAGAGGTCACTTAGCAGCTCCGATAGCGACTGGGTCTGTAGTGAAGTCCAAGGTGCAGGAGAATGTGTTGCAAGTCATCCCAAAGGGAGAACTTTAAAAAGCCCAAACTTACATTTAGGCTTCTGAATTTTAACAGTTTGTTTTACTAAGAGCCTGACAGGATCTGAGTTTGTTTCGGATGGTGGAATTACCTTGTTATACCTACGTGTACATGTCTGTCTTCCTTGCAGTATTGTTGAATTGACTCCCTGAAGGGTGTGCTGGTTTTTTTTTTTCTTTTGACTTAGGTTTATAACAAGATTGACCAGATATCTATGGAGGAAGTGGATCGTCTTGCTCGGAGACCCCACAGTGTTGTAATCAGGTAGGAGCCTGTCACGCTGCCTGATGTGCTGGCCCAGATGGTGTGGTGGTTCATTTCATACCCCTTTCTCCAGCTTGCCCCAAGAAGGGACTTCTCCCAGGGCTGCCTGCAGCTGCTGGAGTGAGAAGCAGAGCTGCTGTGCAGCTTTTTCCAGGCTTCCTTCCCCTGGAGAGGCAGGCTGCTTGGCTTCTGCACGCTGTCTGCAGGCCAGAGTAAGCCAGTCTAGCTTGTTTCCTTAGAAGTGCTGATGTATCTGACTGGGGCTTTGCTGCTTCAAAGCTGCTTGCCCTTCTGGAAGCCCTGTTTATTTCACCTTGTGTTTTCCCTTTACTGGCCTCATTAAAGACCTTTCCCCTTGTTCTCTAGCACTTTAATAAGACATTTCACCTTGTTCTTCTGGATCACTAAATCACAACAGCAGTAAACACGGAAATGTTCCTGGTGTTTTGCAGCTGTGGCATGAAACTGAACTTGGACTACTTGCTGGAGAAGCTCTGGGAATACCTGGCACTTACCTGCATCTACACTAAGAAACGAGGACGTAAGTGACCATTAGCTGAACAGAAGGTTAGAAAGGCATGAAGGGCTGCTGCTGATCAAAGGCAGACGAGCTGCCAGTGGGGCTTGTTTACCTGACTGTCTCAGTGAGCTCTTATGTCTTGGAAAAGCTGCAGTTATGCTCTTCCTGACCAGCTTGCAGCTCTTGGGAAATGCTTTCTGTTCCATCTGATCCAGCTCTGCATGTATCCCACCACAGCCCTCCTATTTTCTCTGCACTAGAAGAGCTGAATTTTCATAAGAGTTTGCGTAATGTTATAAGGAAATAAAGTTTGCAAGTTCGCAGCTTTGTTCCTTACTATGCACGCTCTGTGATGGACTGTTCAGCCCATCACTACCCAGAAGAGGTCTCCTGTTGGAGCTGTGAGAGGTTTGGTGATTCCTGTGCCAGGCTCAGGAGTGCATTTGATCCTCCTTTTGCTTTCCAGTTCACTTGCAGCTTCTGTCGGTGATCAGACAAGACACGGCTGTAACTTGTTGCTGTTTAGTTGTGAACAGCTGTGACTCTGAACTTGGGTGGATGTGAGGAGATGGAGGAACTTTCAATGAGCTTGTTAAGCTAGGAAATTTGGGGGATTTTACAGGAAACTGCAGAGTGGTTTGGTTTTACTTGAGCAGGTGTGTTTTGACTTGGGTGGTTTTGTTTGTCCTAAGTTAAATATTTGGAATGGAGTTGAAGCAGGTGGATTGTTAGGAAGCTGTGGAGAGAAGTCGTGGGTAACTGTGCTTGTGGGTACTGGAGTGTCTACAGACCTGATTTGATGCTTTCAAGTACATGTTCTGTCTGGGAGCTGGCAAGTGTAACGGGAGGAGGAATTTGGGAGTAGTAAGCACAAGGCAATGTGAGATGATGTCAGCATATTAGAACACATTTGATGGAAATGTAATGCTTTTTTCCCCCCCTCCTGCTTCTCCACAGAGAGACCAGACTTTACAGATGCCATTATTCTACGGAAAGGGGCCTCTGTGGAGCACGTGGTAATTTCTCTGCATCTTTTACGTTAATCCTTGTCTGTAGAAGGCAGGTTCCTCTTGGAGCTTGCTATGATTTGTGCCTCATAAAGCCTGGGACATGTCAGTGCTTAGTTGGGCTTCTCCTTTTGTTACCTTTACTGTGATTCCAGCTGCCTCAGGTTGCTTTCCTCGCTGCTATGAAAGATTAGAAAAAAAAACTTAATGCAGACCGGTGAAAAAGCACATGGAAGCAGTGGAGTGGGGCTTTATGTGGTCTGGTGATTCCTGTGTGTCTGTTCCATGTTCTTTCAAGTGCTGTTAACTGGCTCCTCAAGTCACTGGCGTAATTTCTGACAAAGACCTGAGTTGCTTCTAGTTCCTGGATATTGAGCAGGTCGTTTGCAAAGGGGTGTCATTGAACTGCCTCACATGCTGTCTGTCTGTCTTGCAGTGCCATCGAATTCACAGATCATTAGCCAGCCAGTTCAAATATGCTTTGGTGTGGGTAAGTGTTTAAATGAGATCCCTGTCCTCGAATGTCTCCGACTGGTCTTCTCCTAACCCTTCTCCCCCTCTTGTTTTCAAGGGGACAAGCACAAAATACAGCCCTCAAAGAGTGGGCTTAACCCATATGATGGAGCATGAAGATGTCATTCAGATCGTAAAGAAGTAACCCTCTTTGCTGGTGCCTGGCCTTGTCTTTAATCACTAGAATTGGAACTGACCACATAAAAGCAAAACAAAACAAACAAAAAAATAAAAAAAAAAGAAAAAAAAAGAAAAAGGGAGACGTGTTCCACAGCCAAGAAAGCAAGAAAGCTTCCATGAAGCTCCTTCTTTTGGAGAAAGGCAGAAAATGAGGCTACTGTACTTGCAGGTGGGGATGGGGAAGACGGGTTTCCATCTTGCAGCATTTCAGGCGAAGTGATGTTTCTTAAAAAAGGAGCCAGTTCCTCTAGGATACAGTTCCTGCAGCCAGCAACGTCCTGCCCCTAGCAGGGTTTGCACACGGATCTGTGTGTTAACCCACCAGTAGCTTGCTTAGCCAGTGGGAAGCTTATGGGTTTGTGTGAACGAATCTGGCCCTGTGCTTTGGGACAGGGAGGCCAGGGCTGAGACAACCTTGCTGATGCTTTGCTGTTTATCCGTTCACTTAATTTAAGCACTGATCTGAAACGGAAACAAAGTTCTCCCTCCCCTGCTCGCTGGACACATCTCTGCAGCTTTCATCGTTGGAGACTTTAGTCTCTGCATCTGAGACAAGCCCTGGTGAATTTGTAATGGTCCCACCTCAGTTGAAATTAAAACGTGGCACTCTGTGCCTCTCCTTGGCTCTGCAGTAGGGTTTGTAGGACATCCTGGTCCAACTGGTACTGGGAGAGGTGAGATACAAAACCTTGTTAACCAATGATTAACCTGGCTGAGCTGCAGCCAGGTACGATCAAAGAGCCGTGCGGTGCAGGGAGGATTCACTTCTGGCATACGACTCATCGAGGAGCTGTCTTGGGATGTCCTGCCCCTTAGTCCCCGGGAGTATTGCTGGGATACCTCCTCCTTTCTCAGTCATGCCCCTAGATTCCAGTAACAGCTCTTTGAGCTCAAGTACCATCCCATGCCATGGGTTTCACCCCAGCCCTGTTAAATATTGTTGCTTGTCTGGGTGTTTTTCATCAGAAATCTGGGATTTTTCTAATCATGCTTTTTCATCGAATACTGATGCTAAACTATTCAGAGTGCCTGATAGAGAACAGCTCTTTCCTTCTGGGATCAAGAGTTGCCAATAGCTTTTATTTTCTTTCCTCAAAAAAGGGTTCGGTGTGATGTGAGGACAGGTCTGATGGCAAACTTGTCTGAGCAGAGCTCCTTCCCTCTCCTTTGTGCTCCTCCCCACCCCTTGCAGACTGATCACGCAGAAATGGAAGGATTATTTTATTTGAGAAAATAAAAGTTGCTATTTCATGTGAACTGTAGGTGTCGGCCTGCAGTGGGTGGACGGTTTGGTGTGTTTCCTGACTCTCTTTTCTTCCCTTTGGCCACCTGAGGAATCCTGGTTGCTGTTGTAGGAGGTCATGGAGGGGAACGATTGTGAAGCAGCTACAAGAGGGCTCTGAGGCTGGAGAGGACTTGATGAGGTGTGATGGGAGATAAATAGATACTGTACACAATACCCAAGCTAAGAAGGTGACTTTGAACTCTATAAGTTCCCTTCCCTGTTGCTGGCTTTGTTCACAGCTGGAGCGCAGAGCAGATCCCGACCGCGGTGGCAGCCAGCGGAGAACGAGCTCCGAATGAGCCGCATTATGCCTGAGCTGGCTGCAGAAAGCGGGCGCTGCTCTGTCTGGATTGGGTGGGATGCTGTTCCAGCACATTAACTTGCCCTTTTAAATTTCCTGTGAAGGTTGCACAGGCAGCGTTGCCCACACAAAAGAGTTCCTTTGGTTTCATTTTGTCCCTGAGTTTTTTCTGACTTTTCACTCCAAACCCAGGAGCCTGCCAAGCCCCAGCACGCGACTGGGCATCCAGAACTGCTGACTGGGCTTTGTCCTTAGGTCATGTAGTGCCAGGGCTCGGGGAGGTGGTTGATGCTTGCGTCAGGCTGAAATGCACGGTATTACCTGCTAAAATGTGTCCTCAGTTAGTCAGGGCTTACCTCTCAGTGTGTTCAGGTTTCAGATTAACTAGTCTCACGTGCCATCGTTAAAAACCCCTCTGTCTAATTAGCCTTAATCTTCATTTGGGAAATTGGGCAGTTTATCCTGTTCAAAATGAACTGATACGTGATTAAATTTGGAATGGGCGTGAAAGAAAAATAGTTAAGCCAGGAGAAGCTAACTTATTTTTTTTAGTGAGAGTAGCTTTTTTGCCAGCACGTTTATAGCTGTATGTGAAAATGCATGCATTTAATTGCAGCGTTCATTCTTCCAGACGGCTTCCCTAATGGTTCTGCACTAACGTTAAAAGCTGCAAACGTTGCAGATCAGTGCAGGAGCAGGTTTGCTTGAAGATCCCTCTGACTCCTGAGAAAGCAAGGTCCTAAGGGCAGGGTGGAAATCTATTGTGGCGTTAGGATTGTACTGGAACCTCCTGAGGTTTATGGAGTTGGCCAGACCCCTCGTTAGCTCCGTGGGGGATCTAACGAAGGAAGATGTGCTCAAAGCCTCCTGAGTGCTCTGTTCTGTCCCAGAAGATGGGGGGCTGGTTGCAGGCAGGTGCTGTGGATTTGCCCTCTCAAGAGTGGCACGCTGCATTTTCTGTGCTGTACCAGGGACGGCTTGGCTGGACGATGCTTGGAGAAAGCCACCCTCGGATGCGATCTGCTCTTCTGCGCTGCAGCCCCTTGCCGTTCCTCTGCTCCTTCAGCCGACTCCGGCTCTGTTAACACCGGACCCAGCTCCCAAATCCTGCACTGATCCTGCCCTGCCCCTGGGCCCGCTTTGCTGGCGGAGTGCAGCCGTGCATCGCTGCTGAGCGGCGCTCCAGGTGTGGAGCGGGGTGGATCGGCTTCGATACAGTCCATCAGCCTCCCTCCGTCTCCCTCCATCCCTGGAAACAGCGACGGCCCGAGGCGTGCTCTGTTTCAAATGCCTGTTCCAGGCAATCAAGCAGGTTTGATTGGCTGAACACTCCTTTTATAATTTAATTTAGTCAGGAATCGTTTGCAAAGTAATAAAAAGAGACTGACTCCAAATACATTCATTTAATTCAATGAGAGACAGTTACTGCGGCAGGCTCGCCCCCGCCAGCTTCCCTCGCCCCGTCACGCTGACATCTCAAAGCGCTGCTCAGGGCCGTATATAAGAGCCACGATGCGCCGTGACAGCTTAATTGTTTCAAATGCTGACAAGGGTCACCCCGACCAGCCGTCGCGCCTTGCGCGGGGCTGGCTCGGGAGGCTGCGGCGAGGAGGATTTATGGCTGGCAAATAGTTTTGGATTCCTCTGGTTGCGCCTGCTAAATGATGAACCTGCCCCTGGGGGATTGGGGCTATTGATTGTAATTTGCAGTTAAGCCCTCGCTTTCTGAGGAATCAGCATAATAAATACCCACCGCATTACGGCAGGGACGTGTCTGCATGCAGGAGAAGGAAGCGGAGGTTTTCCTGGCT